CTTCTCTTCCATGGCGCGCTCTGCTCTGAATTATGATTCCTATTTGTGTTTACTTCTCTGCCTTATCCAGTCGCTTATTCGGTTTTCGTTCTGAGTTAAAGCGGCGAGATGTGCCGGTGCCGCCAAAAGAAAAAGTAGCGGTTTCGGTGCGGTTTAGGAAGAGTGCTGTTTTCCATTTACCTCATTTTTTTTAGAGGATGATTTTTTTAGTCCCTAATCACATAAAATAAAATAAAAATATATAATTATAATATTATATAGTATTATAAGCATATAATATGATATGGTGTTAAAGTATTTATGTTTTTATTATTTACAAATTATACAATAAAAAAAATTTAAATTTAAAATTTTTAAAATTATTACTCAGCAAGTAAGTTATTATTAGTAAGTTCAATATGTTTATTTTTAGTAATTCAATGACTTAATTGCATTGGTAAGAATGCGCCAAGACCATGACTTGGATCATAGTTCCATTTGCAATTATGTTACAATTGTGTTTGGAATTGTGGTTAGGGATTTTATTTTTTTAAACATATAATGTTTTTAAATATATGTGAATTTAATAATTTTTTTGATTTATTTTTTTCAAAACTTATAAAAAAATATAACAATTTTACAATAATTTTATATATAAAATTAAAACCCTTATTTCAAATCTTTCTAATTGTATTTTCATAGATATGGATGACAATAGGTCTCATAGGGTGATAACCCCTTCCCATCTTGTCCCTCTCAAGATTTTCTCAAGAATTTTTGGTAGGGGCAAAAAATTCCCCCCAATCCCCAGCCAACTGGCAAAAAAGCATTAATGTCAAATTTTCTTCTAGATAAGTATCAAAAAATAATTTATTTTCTTTTGATTTATTTATATTGAAAATTATTGGTTTTTTTTTTTATCATTATTACGTTTAATTATAGTATTTTTTTAAAAAAAATTTCCATCTTCTATTCAAGTAAGTTGGGTTTTACTATATTTTTAAAAGATAAATAATCAAATACTAAAGTATCTTTCAGTTACAGCGATAGCATAATACAATCACAATTACAACTTCAACACTTCACAATAATCCTAAATGCAGCCTACATCTATGTATAAGTTGTAGCCCTTCCCTAAATTACCCAAAGAACAAGAAAAAGTCTTTTTATAGTTGGGGAATTGTTCACATAAAAAATAAATGCAAGTGATGAATATGTTTGGGTTTTAACAAAGACGAATTTATTATTATATTGTTACAAACAAAGACTAATTTATTATAATGCCGAATGATGGATTTTCTAATTAATTTTATTTTGTTTGATTTTATATTACAAAATGATAAAAGATAATTATTTTTCCCTTTTTACTTATCTCACTTAATCATTTGGATATTATGTAACTCAAATTCAAAAAAATTTATTTTAACTAAGAAAAACTATAATGCCGAATGATATTTAATTCAATCAATAAAATCCTATCAAAAAAAAAAATTCAATCAATAAATTCATATATCATATTACTAGTTTATGTAAAATTAATTTTCCTTTTCATAGTCTCTTGCAGCAAGTAGCTGTGTTGAAAGTGTACTTATCCAGAATGGCTTTGAGCACAATTGGAGTTACAAAGAAGTATTGCCTTTATAAAATTCGCTCTTTACCAGATTATTGTGTAAAAGAAAATCATTTGCATAGAAATCAATTGATTTCCTTGCTACGAGAGCAATGGATTTTGATACACAAAAAATCTTTAGAGTTACATCTTTGGGCAAAAATCTATTGTTAACATTTTACCTTAATAAGTTTGTAAGTTTTAGCCCATTCACTTATATGAATTAAAAAAAATAATCCTTATTTAATGTTAAGTTATAACATTTTGTTAATTTTGTTAGTTAACTGTTAGTTCTATTAACTAATTGTTATTATTCTCTTATAGAAGACATAAAATTTAAATTTAATTTTATTTGTTAGTTTCGTTAACGAAACATTAATAATCAACTAATAGAGTTAACAGTTAGTTAACAAAACTAACAATTAATTAACAAAATTAACAAAACATTATAACTTGACATTAAGTAATTAAGTAAAAGTTATTTTTTCAATTCATATAAATGAAAAGTTAAAACCGTCATAATATAAGGTGAATAACTAAAATATACAAACTTATTAAAGTAAAAGCTTAGAAATAAGTTTTTACCTACATCGTTGAAGCTTATACCACTTCTTTTAGTATTGAAAATAATTTTACAATGCTTCTTTTGATATCGGGTTACTCAAT